TGGTGGTCTAGCTTCAACTGACTCATGATTTAAACCATTGAAATTACTATAATATCCACAAAACATCTGATATTAATCAACATATGGTCACTAGTGAGTGGCTTCAAGAGGTATATCCTGGAGTTCTAATGAGAGGTAGTGACCAGTGGAGTTCAACTAAGTCTATTTTGAGATAGTAACTCATTGAAGACAATGGTAATTTGTCGCTCAATTCCATAGATTAATTGAAGTTAGTCATTAAAACCGTTGAATATTGTGAGTAGTCGCACAATAGGACGAAACAGTCATCCAGTGCTTCCAGGTTTCCTATGATAGTCTAGCTCCAATTGACTCACGATCTCAAACATTGAAGCTATGTTTTGATAGAAATTACTTGAGTAGTACATTCTGTTTGTTAAAATTATAATGGATTCAAGGATAATTGAAATAGAATAGTTTAATATACAAGTGAAATGCAAGTACATCCAGCTGATGAGTCCGAAAATAGGAAGAAACACGAGTCCTGGATTCAACTGGTAGCCAGCATTCAGCTTTGCATATATAAAGCTTGTGACTTAAGACAATATCTAAGCAATACACAAAGGATGCATGTGTGCCAATAAGAGACTGATCAATTACAGTCCTAAACATCCATTGGAAGATACAAGTAAAACCACATCAAGTGGATCAAGTAAAAAATTTGTTGTTTTTTGTATTGGTTTATTTAATCTTTCCATTGATGTTTAGGATTGCAGTTGATCAGTCTCGTTCTCATTAGCATGTCGAGCAATATCATTAATTGATACTATACTATAGATATTAATACTATTGGATGCCGGCTCAGTGGTGTAGAAGTTAAACATTCACCCCTGAGACTGAAGGTCCTGAGTACGAGTGCCACGTGTGGGATCGTGGATGCTCACTTCTGAAGAATCCTATGCTAGAACGAAATGATTATACATTATATCTAGGTTTTCCATGGTAGTCAGACGTAAGCCTTTTAGTTTACACTTAATACAACCGATACTCGTCAAAAATATTCTTGTAATGTTAAGTTGTTTCAGGTTTACTATGTACATAGGATTTGTTAGTGTCTATCCAATATGTTTAATAAGAGAATGGATGATTGAAAAAATGATTCTCAACTTCCTAAATAAGTAACATATGCGATCTCATATACAAATAACATTCAGGAAGAAAGGTCCGTCCAATTCTTCCAGGATTTTCATGGTGGTCTAGCTTCAACTTACTCATGATCTTAACCATTGAAATAATTATCAATCAATGACAAATTCATATACCTTAGTTGTATGAAAACTGTTTATAATATACAAATACTTGAACTGAACGATTATTCTAACTTACAATTCATGTGGATTAAATACCATCAGGTGAGAATAAGTTCTAGTTAGACTATACTTCTTGAAACATTAGGATCCATGATATTCGTCATTCATTGTTAAACAATAAAAAAGCAAAACTTAATACGAATTAGACACTAGAAATGTCACTCTATCTTTCACTGTTTATATACTTATATATCTTAGCACCATGGGTTGTATAATCTTAAAAGTAAACGATGTTATTGATTTCTTAAATCGTTTATAGAAAACTTTATATATGATCATTATGTATAGGAAACATTGTAATTGCATGTCCATCATTAATATATATATATATATATATATATATATATATATATAATATATATGTTGGTGACATCAACTGTATTCACTAGATGAATGTACTAACTGTAACTGCCAATCTTCTTCCGTCTCGCATATCAGTTTCGCTAATAAGTATTTAAAAGTATACTAAGAATAGAGTCTTTATAAGTAAACGTGGATAGTGTCTAGCAGTGGAACTCAGCATACGCGTTTCGTCCCATTCGAGACTCGTCAGCTCGATGTACCTGTATCTCACAGTTGGTGTTCACTCTGACACTCGGACCTAGTACCATTCGCTTCAAATGCCATAATATGATCGACTTAGCTACTGAGTGTTGATCCTACTTGCTTGTGCAATGAGATGAAGTTTAAATTCACTTAGTATTGTTTGATATGAATCTTTCCATTGGTGTTTAGGATGGTAATTGATCAGTCTTTCTCTTATTAGCATATGTTCATCCTATGCATATTGCCTCGTTATTGTTTTAATTCACAAGCATTATAAGCAAAGGTGGCTATCAGTGGAATTGAGGTTGCATGTTTCGTCTTATTTAGGACTCATCAACTTGATGTACTCGTATCTCAGTCTTGTTGATGTTCACCCGGGGACTCGAACTTAGTACAGTCCGCTTCAAACTCTATCATATGATCCACCTAGCTACTGATTCTTGATAATTACCTTCTTGTGTTGTTTTTAAGTTCATACATTTGACCTTATTATTCATAATAAATCATACACACTATATTGGTTTAACTTATTCTATGTACATTTAATATACGTCTAGACAAATTACAATCATAATCTTGTAATCTATCAGTTAGTATTGTAAAAAAGAAAAAAGAAACAACAAATGAATATTATTGTTGATTTACTTTATGTTAATATTAGTCTAAATTATATGTCTACTTATTAATACTACTTAAATAAACATTAACATTGAATTGAATAAGACTTGATGTTGATTTATATGAGATAGATTGATAATAGAGAAGAAGGTACTAGATTGTTTTTTGTTAAAGGTAGATAAACATTATTTATCACCATAATGAAATGATTTGTCATTACATGGTTTAATATCATGTTATTAGCATATAAATTAGACAAATAACATGTAAATAATTATCATTATAAAGGGGAAATGGAAATGAGACCGAGTGAGAGACAGACAGAGAGAGAGAAAGAGTGAGTGAGGGAGAATACTGGAAAATGTGTTTGATTTCATTGGTTTATAGAAGAACAGGACGAAAAGGCCGTCCAGTGATTTCAGGTTTTCAATGGTGGTCTAACATTAATCGGTTCATGATCTCAATCAAAATTTAACAATCTCCACAACCCCTAAACTGATAATTACCATGTGTTCATTAGTGACTAGCTTCGTGAGAAAATTCTCGGAGTTCTGGTGAGAAGCCGTGAACAGTGGAGTTAATCCGTGTCGGGTAGCGACAAGTATCAACTCCATTACAATGGAAGATGATGGCGTAATTTCTTGGATTGATTGAGGTTAGACATTATGAATGTTAAATACCGCCGGCTCAGTAGTCTAGTAGGTTAAGCGTTTGTGCGCGAGCCTGAAGACCCTGGGTCCGGATCTTGCGAACGGGATCGTGTATATGCACTGGCGATTAGGATTCCATAATAGGATGAAACAGCCATCTAGTGCTTCAACGTTTACAATGCTGGTCTAGCTTTAATTGACTCATGAATTCAATTATTAAATTATTAAAATCTCCAAAAAACTCGCTTCTGATAATTATCATTATGTGCTCACTAGTCACTGGCTTCAAAAGATATTTCTTGAAGTTCTAGTGAAAAGCCAGGTTTGTTATGAGATAGTGACTCAATAAAGACAATGTTGGATGGTGGTGCAATTTTTGGAGTGATTGAAGGTAGACATTAACACAGTTGGATGTAGGGTGTGGTCTAGAGGTTAAGTGTTCTTGTGTGAGATCGACGATCCCGGGTTCGAGTCCATTTGCTGTAGGATCGTTGGTGTACACTGCTAAAGGGTCCCATACTAGAACGAGATATCCGTCCAGTACTTCCAGGTTTTCAATGGTGGTCCAACATTGATCGATTCATATTCTCAATCAAAATTAAACAATCTCCACAACTCCAAACTGATATAAAATAATTCCTGTAGTTCCACTGAAAATTTATGATCAATTAAGTTCAACTATGTAGAAAGTGAGACAATTACTACTCAGTTATGGCATTGGTCGATGGCGATTCAGCTATGTAAATCTTCTAAGTGCAAATTACAAAAGATTCCATACTAAATGAGTAGTTCGAAGGCTAGAGCATTATTGAGATACTTGAATGTACTAAATTTGATGTTTAGCGAGATCGTGAATGCTCACTGCCATGGAACTCTATACTAGGCCGAAACAACTGCGTATTTCTTTCTGCTTTTTCAATGGTTATCTAACCAGCTTTAACCGACTGTGCTATAGGATAATGATATATGTATGGCTTAACTTAAAGGTGAGATATCCAATGTCCTCTATCATATTTCATAAGGTCGGACAGATTAATTGGAAATATATTTCAAATCGTTCAGAACCAAGATGATTTAAAATAATTTTGGAAAAAAAGATGATAATTTGTATCAATGGATTCATGATCTCCACAATCCCACACTGATAATTACCATGTGCTCATTAGTAACTAGCTTCGTGAGGGAGTTCTCGGAGATCTAGTGAGAAGCCGTGACCAGTGGAGCTAATTCGTGTCAGGTAGCGACAGGTATCAACTCAAGTACAATGGAAGATGGTGGCGTAATTTTGTGGATTGATTGAGGTTAGACATTAACACCGTTGGATACTAGCCGGCTCAGTGGTCTATATGTTAAAAGTCCTACAATAGGACGAAACGTCCGTCCAGTACTTCCAGGTTTTCAATGGTGGTCCAACATTGATCGATTCATGATCTCATCAAAAGATAAATAATCTCCACAACCCCATACTGATAAACTGATAATAGCTTGAATAAGTGTTACAAACGTATGGGATCGACTAAATTCTATTTACCACTGAAAAAAGATATGTTTCATATTGTGAATACATGTTTTCACGTACAACCTTCCCTTATTTTATGGCAACTTGTATTAATAAATCGAATTACAGATCTCAACTATGTTAAGCAAATGTAAACTCTTCATCCGTACTGTCCGACTAGCCAGATGAGGCATAGTTTGAGTATCATATTTCTTCCGTTAGAAATTTCCAAGGCATATCTAAATTCTCTTATAAGAAATGATGGTCGTATTGAATCAATATAACCTCCAATTACTTGGATTAAACACATCCATAAAAAATGTATTGATCAGTAGCTTGAATAATTCAACATTTACTTACCTTGGTTCTGGATTGGCTTTTGCATAACAAGGTATTAATAAAGGTTCTTCTGGATTAATATAAGCTGTAGACGGTGCATCTTGATAAACGTTGGTGGATGAACAACTGAAAGTTAATCAATAAACAATATTATAAGTAGTAGTGAGTTATGTTATTCAGATCAATGAAAAGTTTGAGTAAAAATGTTTAATCAATATTACTAGATCACGCTTAAATAATCCGAATAAAATTGAAAAACTATTCAAGCATAGAAATATTTATGGGTCTAGTACGCGGACGAATAACCTCTAGACCACTGAGTGTTCGCACGATAGGTCCTGGGTTCGAATCCCGCGGGACCGGATCGTGGATGCGCAATACTGAGGAGTCCCATGCTAAGACGAAACGGCCTTTCAGTGCTTCCAGATTTTCTATAGTGGTCTAGCTTTAATTGACTCGTGAATTCAACTATCAAATTACAATAATATCCATAAGACCCCTCTTTGATAATATGAATATCTAATGTTAAATATGTCGAAAGCCCACCTTGAACCTAGATTTCTAGCATGTTTAACTGGTAGTATGAAAGAATTACTGTTCCACATAATAGTTACACCATTGTCCACTAGCGTTTACGTATGATGTTTCACCACTGTTTTGTTATGGGACTCCTCAGCGGTGCGCATCCACTATCCCGCCTCGTGAGATTCGAACCTAGAAATAGTCCCACAATAGGACGAAACGGCCGTCCAGCGCTTCAGGTTCTCCATGGTGGACTAGCTTCCATTGACTCATGATCTCAACCATTGAAATTATTATAATATTCAAAAACAACCCTTCTGATATGAAGAACAATCAGTGGAATGCATGATCATAAATTTTGTGATCAACTTACTAGTTTTTATATATATACTGTCCCAAATTCTATTGATTATAGATAAACTATTTCTTAACACTATATAGAAAGCTATTCCCTGCACAATAATCAATCTGGAAACTAATGTTTTCAAGATGAATAAATAAATAAATGTTTGATTGAGACTCATTAAGTTGATTAGTATGAATGAATATACCGATCCAACGATGCAAATGTTTCCGCTCGTGCATAAGAAGAATTTCTATACCGTGTCGCTGGAAGTAACGAATATTGGTAAGTCGATTCGAAGAGAGTGGGGAGATTCAATTCTCTCTCTCTCTCTGTCTCTGGAAATGCTCTCAGATGAATACTTGCATACAGCCACTACCAGGGAAGCCCTACTCACTAACTTCTCGAGGCATTACTGCTGTTTACAAGATTGATAGGATGAAAAGCGAATGTCCGGCGCTTTAATCGACTTAGTAGGATATGGAGGATTCACCTAGGTGAGTTGGAAAACTGATTCCAAAGTGATGGTGTACATAGGATCCAGTATCCTGAGAGAACAAATGGTGTGTGAACTAATTATTGGTCATCGGCTAACATGGGACTACGTCTCCTCGAATTCCTCCAAGTGCTTTGTGGATCAGACCTTCAGTTTGAAGTCATGAGTTGTGTCCCCCTAAGTAAACCATCTGTTTCAGTCAGAAAATAACCTCAACCGATTACAAGGTACACCTCATTCAACTTATTCGGACAACTTCGGAATAAAAAAGAGTTGTCATCAGTTGGATTGTATAGTCTTCATGCTATACTTCAAATTGATGGAAGTTTGAGTTGTACAATAGAAAATTTGATCAGAGAATTAACATTTAACTACTATGAGTCATGAAATGTCTGACCTTTACCCTTGGTGAAATCGTGAATATCCATTGCAGAAAAGTAGGAAGAATAAGCTATTCAATAATTTTCATGAATACCATTCATAACTTCTCATTAAAACTTCATAAATTGATTTCCAAGTAGGTCATTAGACAAGTATATTTCGAATGAAGGGTTTTCTTGTAATATTTATCATTTATTTATTTGAACACATAAATATTGGTACGAAGCGGTACCAAATAGATATGTGCCATACAAGTCACTTCAATTGTGTGTGTAGGTTGTGATACTGCCCTAGCTACTAGACCGAAACAGGTGGTTTATATAGGGAGAAAATCCCGTCGCCTTCGACCTGAAGATCTGATCCACGAGGCAGTGGAGCAACGTAAGGAGATGTAGTCCCATGGTATTCAGTGACCAATAATTGGTTTATACACCATCTATTCTTTCAGGATCCTGGAGCTCAGTTACACCATTGGTTTGGAATGACGATTCTCTAACTCGCCCATATCCATCAACCCGGTTAAAACACCGGACATTCGCTTTTCATCATCTCAATTTCGTAAACAACACCCAAGGACTTCCTTGGCAGTGACTATATACACATGTGAGATATACACATGTCCATGTGAACGCATCCCAAGCTCCCAACTTTGCGGAAATTTTGGGGAATTCGGGGAAACTTGCTCAATGTTTGGGGAAATTTTGGGGTTTTTTGTGCCATTTCCCCAAAATGGGCCAAATTTTCCCCAAAATCGGGAGCTTGGGATTTCAATGGGGAGAACTGACTTTACCCACACTCAGTCATAACAGGGCATTTAGATACTTTCTTGTAATAAAGAAAAAGTAAAATACATACTACTTATCAAAACGCTTAGAAACAAATGAAATACAAAAAATTACCTTTAACAGCATCTGTATTACATTGTACTATTAAGTAAATATGAATACATTGTATCAGGAACCACATCTTTAAATGTATAATTTTCTTTTCTATCATATTAATGTTTATTCTTATCTCTTATTGAAGAATATACACCAATTAGGATTGATTACATAATATGTTTGTTTTGTTTTGTCTAATATACTGCTGATATATACATATGAGTAGTAGGATGAGTATAGTTCCTTTCTCCCGCCCCCCCCCGAAAAAGTATTTTATATACAATTGATGATGATTGAATAATTGAATTGGATAGTGATTAGATTGTCAATGATTAATAATAATAAGTAGATGATGAATATATTTCTATATGGAATTAAAATGGGAGTGTAGTTTAATCTATTTACCCATTCATCATTTTTATTCATAATTTGATTGGTTGTTAATAAATTGACCAATCAGATTTATGATTGGGATAAAAATAGAAAAAAAAACCTATTTCAAATAGTTGATATAAGTTAGAGCATTATTGAAAACCTGAAATCATTGAATGACTATTTCATCTTAATATGCGACTGTTCAACAGTGTGCATCCACAATTCTACATGTGGGATTCCAACTCAGGACTAGAATGAAACGATCGTTCAGTGATTCCAGATTTTCAATGATAGTTTAGCTTACATTGAATCATTAATTTAACTATTAGAATGACTACAATTTCCACAAACCTCATTGTGATCATAATCATTATATGCTCACTAGTGGCTAGCTTCAAGATGAATATCAGGAGTTCTAGTGAGAAACTGTGACCATAGGAGTCCAATCCATGTCAAATAGAGATAGCCATCTACTTCAGACAATGGATGAATGGTTGTAATTACTACAATCTCCACAAATGTTTTGTCAATATTCAATGTTTTCTTTTATAGATTTATTAAATATGATGAATGCTTTGTATTTGTTGTAGTTAAGTAAACAATCTGCTCAAATGTCTGGGTCAGTGTTTTTCAACACATGCATTAAAGAAAATAAACTTAAGTCATTCGTGGATTGGTTGAAGTTAGACATTAACACCACTGGATGCCGGCTCAGTGGTCTAGTTGATTAAGCGCCTGGCGCGAGACTGACAGGTCCTTGGCTCGAATCTCGCGGGGTGAGGGATCGTGGATGCGCACTGCTGAAGAGTCCCATACTGGGGCGAAACGGCCAGCCAGTGCTTCCAGGTTTCCCATGGTGGTCTAGCTTCAATTGACTCTTGATTTCATTCAGATTTGTTTTAATTCTTAGTTATCTGTTACGAACTCTTGTAAAAGATCCACAATCTATCATGAACCCAAGAATTATCACTATATAAGTCGGTAAGTTTTCCTCTTCCACTGTTTACTGAAGAAAACCACATAGTTAAGTAATCGTACATTGTGTCCATGGTAGCAGAACTAATTGTAGACATTTAAAGATGAATATGAATCGTATCTAATCACTATTTAGAAACTTTTTCTATACATTTCGTTGGAATATTCACAAGTCGAATACTTATGAAACTAGAGTTTTATAGGAAGTTCGCATATTTCCTGCCATGAATTCCCAATTGTAATCAATGATTTTATAGAATGCGCTTTAACCTGTCCAAAACTTGAAAATCTCTTGATGGGTAATATAATCCTGTTGTTCATTGGTCATTCACGAAAGTAAATAAATCACCAAAACAGATAATTTATCTACCTCTAACGAATTCCCTAATCCATACTTCTGGGGAGTCTCCTAATAATATGAAACAACTGCTAAATGATTTCCAGTTTTTGACGGCCATTGAATATATTTAGTCTGCAATGTAAACTATATATCAGTAATGAATTGATTTAATTAAGTCCATATTTTAAAAATAACACGGAACTAATTCAGAACTCAGTAGTTAAGTGGATCACGAGATGGCGTTTTAAATGAAAGGTACTGGGTTGAGTCTCAGAGCGTACATCAACTTTGAGATGCAGGTATATCCAGCTGACGAGTCCTGAATAGAACGAAATGCTCGTCCTGGATTACACTGCTAACCACTATCCATCTTTACGTATAATGCTTGTGTGTTAGACTTACGAAAAGTATGCAGCCTTAAAGATCGATGTGAAGATTCAAGAGAATCTGCATCAGAAGATATGAGCATTTTAAAAATAATTCTTTTTAATGGTTGAGATCATGAGTAAATTGAAGGTAGACCACCGTGGGAAACCTGGAAACATTTGTTTTGTTAAGTGTACACCGAAAAATATTTTTCTTACGAGAATTAAGCTTACTAAATCGAATGTTAACTGACACGGTAAAATTTAACCTCTAGTTAATTTACGTCTAGTCTAAAAACACACTATTTCATAGGTAGGGCGAACAGATAACCGTATGTCAAAGGATCAGGAGGTTAGAAAAGTGAATGGAAAATGAAGCAAACAACTGAGTAGACACATATTTACTTACTTAATTACTTACGCCTGTTATTTCCGATGGAGTATAGGCCGCCGAGCAGCATTCTCCAACTCACTCAGTCCTGGGCCTTCCTTTCCTCCACCTGGAGACTCTCTGGGGCTACTGCCGGTCCCAAACCCGGATAAAGAAAGAGGGTTGGGCATGGGGTTAGCGACCTTATTCGGTAGAAAATTAACTCGCTAATAAATCGCTAACGCAGTAGACATATATGATGTATTTTAATTGATTAGAAGAAGAAATTGATCACAAATAATAGATAATGAAGTCTACACTAGAAGTTAACAGAGCTGAATATCAGATACATTAAACTAAGGGTGCGCTACAAATTCACAAACGTGTAATCGGTAGGTCACTAACTTAGATGATCTTTGTCGAAAGTCAGACAGGAATGGTGTAATTAACAGGTAAATTCGAAGACACTACTCACAATCAGCGCCGAACAAGGTTTTCCCCTTCGTCCTATCAAGATACTATGGATGCTTTGAAGACCGTACAACACAAAGGACGTTATTACAGAAACATATTAGTTAGAGCAGATACAAGTGAAAGTGTGGCCACCACCGCATGGGTCAGTTCATGGCGTGAGATTAACTGATTTGCGTTGGTTCTCCTTGACCTTAAAAAAAAGATCAATGAACTGCTCGATATTCAATGATTCAAATTCAGGTTGATTTGTTTAGTGTTCAATGACATTTCACTGGCTCTACAAATTTATGTTATAACTTGTGGTCTTGTGCCCCTATCAATTTATATAACGTAATGATACTGTCAGTTAGAGAGCCGGACCAATGACGCGTAAAACCGTACGAGCAGTCTAGAGTCTTTATCAGTTCTTCTTCCTGACTAGCCCTGGCTGCCTGTTCAGTCCAGAATATCAATCTCAGCCTCTGATATATTAATCATGTATTTTTAACATAATGTATATACAAACCAAGCAGACCACATCATACCATAAAATAGAAAATAAAATTTGTACAAGATCTACCTAAAAGTGGTTATGAATATGAGAGACTGTCATTAATAGACTGAGCATAACCCAAGAACAGCAAATCGTATAATAATAGTCTATGGGTCAAAATAAAGTGTATAATAAGGGGAATATGAATAAACATACTCTATTAACTTAACAATTATACAATAAGAATATACGCATAGTATTAGTCCACAAATAGATTACCGTTTAAGTAATAATGAAGTTAGACGCACGGTATTAGGGATTGATGGTAGATTAGTCCATAAAGTTGTAAATCTTCATTGATTGAGGTGGTTGGGCCACGTGTTACATATTCCTGAATACCGTTTACGACGGCGTGCAATACTGATCAGTGTTGAAGACGACTAGAAGAAAGTTAGGGGCAGAGAAGAAGTTACTAACTTCTAGTTTGAGACATTTTGATAGATGTAGACTACTTGGTTGGAGTTTGTGTGTCTATCGAAACCAATGGTTGGAGACTCTGGATGACATGGCTCTCTTTGTCTTCTCTTAAACTATGAAATTGAAATTGCTTCAATTGACTCATGATCTTAACCATTGAAATTACTATAACATCTACAAAACCCATCTGATATTCAATAATGTATTCATCATTTCATATCAAGATAGTATATATTAATCAATTTTCATTTGTTTAGTATTATATTTCCCACTTCCATAGATTTTAAATTAAACACATTTAATAATTAGGTCATCTTTTCCATAAGGGAAAAACATTATTATTATCATCATTACTACTACTACTACTACTACTACTACTACTACTACTACTACTACTACTACTACTACTACTACTACTACTACTACTACTGATGTTTGATCTCTCCCATTCTTACTTTTATTTCAACCTGGAAATGACATAATTTTTCACCTTGTGAATTTCCTCCACCCCCACCCACCACCCCGTTTCTTGTTTACTTGAGAAAGGAAAATGATAAAACGATATCCAAAAAGAAAATAGAATTCTTTTTTTTTTTTGGAATAGAAAAAGGACTTATTCATTAAGACAAATGAAAGCTGACATAAACATACAAATAAGACCATTAGAGAAATATGTTGGTGATAGACATATACAAAGAGTGAGTGTATAGCAACGAGAGAGAAAGAGGGATGAGGGAGGAGAGAGGGAGGTAGGGTGAGGAAGAGAATCATAGATCTGCATACATTGAAAACTATTGAACTTCTTTCTCTCTCTCCATCTCCTTCATACGTACACATAACACACTAATACTCGAAAACATGGATGCTTTTCATTTAGCACATAAAAAGCGAAGTATAATCTATCACATGAAGAGTCATTGAATCGTACGTTAATCTTATCATTTCTATTAAAGAATTTTCTTTATTTTTTTAGGAAGATAAAAAAGAAGAATTAAGGAAATGCTTCGTTCTTTTTTAAGTTTTATTCTTCATTCTCTCATTAATTTTTCGTGACTGAAAGTGTTAACTTAATCTTTTACTGGATTACTAGTATAGGGGTTGTGAAGATTATTAAGTTTTTTTGAGTGAGATCATGAACGGATTGATGTTAGACCACCTTTGGAAACCTGGAAGCACTGGACG